CTGGCGCCTGCATCTAGGCGTTTGGCTACGCCCACTTGCCTGATCTAGTTTAGGGGCTTAGGGTTAAGGGTTAAGGGTTTAGGGTTTAGGGCTTTCGAAAGGTTTGGGGTGGGGCGGGGTGGGTGGGCGAGAGGGGTCCTCACGCTCGCTAGGGATATGTAAGTTGAGGGGTTTAAGGCCGTAAGGCAATCATGGGGCGGGGGCCCTTACTACCCTACTAGGTTTTTTTCTGGGACTCACTAGGTTTAGGGGTCTAGAATTCTATAGATCTCTGCAGTGAGCCGATGACGATTTAGCAGCTGCCCCACCCAGCACGGCTTCGGCCATGCGATTGTAGTATATTGCTATATTATTCCGTGGGGACAGCATCCACTTCATCATAGTTGCAACCGCATAAACTAAACAAGTACGGTTGAAGCAAGCAAGTAAGATACAAGCCTGAATAACGAGAACACGTCAGAGCTACCAAGCTTTCTGTCGTGGGACCAAGCTCGTTGCCCGCACCAAGACTGTGATTTAGGGAGTTTCTTTGGGATCCTAGGCATGCAGGGAGATTGAAGGGGGGGGTTGTTGTGAGGGATTCCAGATGGTCGTTTTCAGAAACTCGCGCACGCAAACTTCCCAAAAGTCCTGTAGGGGCCCCTTACATACGCCAAAAACTATACCACCACATTACTGCAAGCCCCAATAGCGACCCGCAATTTCTGTAACTAGGCAGGTATATTGCGAAGCTCCCGTCGTCTCTGAATTCACCAGAGACCATGTTCATTAATTAGTTCTGCAAGCTCTCCTATACCTCTCAGCTGAGTCGTCGTACCCCCGGCGGATATGAATTGAACCACATTCGAAGCTTCGCCTGCAAAGTAGTCACGCAGGTGTTGTGTCTGTTAGGTTGCAGATGATGAAGGGTTCAGGGTGAGATTTCTTATGGCTTCGGGTCTACGGCCAAGCCTAGAGGTGTAGGATTCTGTCTTGACTATAGGGTGTGAGACGTGAATGGAACAAAGAAGCTCATTTAGGATCGACAAATTCTGACACTGCGAGGAGGGAAAGAGCACATGGTGTTGCAAGATAAGCTGCCGAAATGGAATATCCTCAAAGCAGGGCACTTTTAGGGGGTCCCTAGGCCTATTAGCGCTCCCTGCCAGGATTTAAAAGGGGGATGTTTTACAGGATGTCAAGGCTTGTTCTCGTGGGGCTTATTTGGATTGATACTGATTTCACATATGGCTCCCTTGTCGTGGTACCGCTGCGCAACTTTCTGTGGATGTGCTCCCATCAGAAGCACACAGGCCCTTGCACAAAAAATGCAAAATCCTAAGCCTGAACCCCCCTGGCCTCACAGCACGTATTCGTCATATGCTTTGGCTCAAGCTTCCGATTCAAAGCTTCTCGAGCACATGCACCCGAAGTCGCATGCAAGCTAACATGCGAATCAAGGGTTATCCCTGACCCCACAACCCTGAACCATAGGCCATGACTGCCAGTCAGCCCAGAATTCGGGCCTGACATGGAGGACATCGCCCTTGTCAAAGAGGACCTGGCTACCCATAGTTTGGGGTTGACTGTTTTGGGTAGCAACTTCAGGCACTGCTGCGAGGGATTTCATCCGGTTGTAATCGCAAGGCTTCTTGCAAAGATGACCATGAAACTTGACAAACAAGTCCACAAAACCTACTCTAAACCCTAAACCCTACTACCCTACTTCAGGTAGGCCCTAGCTGGCAGGCTTCCTTGAGCAAAGCAATGCCGAACCTATGGCTTACTGGGGGGTTACTGGGGAATCAGGGAGTATAGTCCCTCTATAATTTCCGTATACTATATAGATTCCCTTATTCCCCACTACCCTAAACCCTATATAATCCCCATATAATATATTCCCCTATTCCCTACTACCCTAAACCCTGTAGAATCCCAATATAATATACTCCCTTTTTCCCTACTAACCTAAACCCTATATAATCCCCATATAGTATGTTCCCTTATTCCCTACTGGTTTAGGGTAACCTAGACACTAAAGAATAATGTAGAACATGTTAGGTACAGAGCCCCTTTTTGCGGGTACGATGGTCACTCGACGCAGGAGCAAACCCCAAGGATTCATGTACCAATAATCATATACTGACCCCAAACCTATACT